TAGCCAATGTTGGTCGCTCGACCTGATTCGGACTCATCCAACTACATACTTCTTACGGCGAGTATTCAAAATTTCAACAAAGATGCGGTTCTATGACCCTTCTGGCTTCGAGTTTATAAAAGAGTACGCATTTGTAATTCGATTCTACAAAAACACACAAAAATAGTTTTTGAGAAAAAAGAAGGTAGATCCTTAATGTCCACAAAGACATTCTAGCCCGAAAAATCTGAGAACTGACCAGACTATTTGTTTTGCTCCGAAGATTGCTTCTGTTCTTCAGTGGTGTCGGGCTGCACCTTCGACTTCCACTCCTCAAGTTTTACCTTGTACTCATCAAGAAGCTTTGCAGCTTTCTTGACGTATGGCTTAAAGAAATGTATAACCTACTGAAACGTGATTGCATGATGACATTTAAAAAGAACTCACTTCCCTGGCCGCTTCACTCATTCCCTTCCATTCTGAACTAACTCGCTTCATTGTCTTAGCAACTGGTGTAATTATTTCTCCTTGTGCCTTCAGTGTGTTATACTTCTCCTGCACATAGAGGTTGTAGGCTGTTGGTGGTTTTTCTGGGTGTCCAGTCTTTTCCCAGTTCTACAACAATAAAACATGCAGGAGACTCAACAAGAGAATACAGAAGACTTTTACAACCGGTACCCTACGTTTTGTTAACATACCTCTCTCCTCTCCTTACGAGTTTTCCTTTTGACTTTTTCCTCCTTCGCTTCCAGTGATGAAGCGATCATCTCTTTCTTCTCTTCCTCAGAAAGAGCCTCAAACTCCTTAATCTTCTCTTCGCGGTAACGTTTAGAAAGTTCCTCGTATTTCTGAAAAAAAAAACTAGCTAAAAGATTGTCTTTGAATTTGATTAGGAGGTGAAAATCACCTTTCTCGAAGCTTCATCGAGAGACTTCCATGCTGCACCAGCTTCTTTCATTGTGTTCTTCCCCTCCATTAAGTCTTTCGGGTGATGCTTCGCGAAATGTTCTTTTACGAAGATGGCACATGGTCCCATAGTCATACCACTCACAGGATATTTATGCTGCTTCTCCCTAAACAACGTTCTATAACGTTTTAACGTTCTAGAAGTAAAATTTATTCACACAATACCTGCACAAAAATAGTCGGATACCCACATATTTTTCATACGGAGCCCACCAACAATGAGTCGACTACATCTCAACATATCCCACCTATCAAGAACATCACATTAAAGAAGAAGCCGGTGAAATCGCAATTGGAAGCGCTTGCCTTATACAGGGACCGGTGACCTTAGATTCTGGATCATTTCTTCGAGTCCCATATCCCTTGGAGGTCTCTTAATTGGTAAAAGGCTTGCCTAGAAGAATGAAAGCGCTGATTAGCAGCATGGCTTAGACCTTGTGGTTCATACAGTCGAGATCCGTAAGTTGGGGTAGGCGTGTCACCGGAAGTGACGTGGACTTGATAGAAGGTTGCGTAGGTAAGTCGCTGCCAGCATGCTTTGCTGATATCTCGCGATATATATTGGAAGCACCTTATCCACATAGATTCTATCAAGTACACGTCACTTCCGGTGACACGCCTACCCCAACTTACGGATCTCGAGTATACATACGACAGCATTCCCATGTCACGTATGATAATCAACGATAGCCGAGAGCGTGCCCTATAACTGGCTGCTTCAATGCTGAATAGCGTTTGTCCGTCAATACTCACTGAAGATCAACAGACCGTCTTAACAGCATGAAATGTCTTCCCCATTAGCAGCCGACCCGCTTACCCCAAACAAGATCTTCTGATTTACTGGCAGACCAAGTATTTAGCCATCCGTTTAGCTTGTAGAACCCATGTTACCGGCCGCCGCTGGGAGTCCGGGTACCGGCGAATAATCTCACAGTTCCTACAATGCATAACAAAGCGTTCCTATATGCTGCTATTTGGCGCTATCGCAAGTAGGGGCACCTCTAGAAAAACTTTGCAATCGCACGGGGCATCCCTTTTCTGTGAATCAGGACTGAAATGTCGGTCAGAATCTGCGATTATCGCGCGATGCAATCGCAGAGCCTGACCGACATCTGAGTCCTAGAAGGATTCCAGGATGTGTGAGCAATTTTAGTTCTCCCCTAAGTTCCTGCCCCTCCTGAGCTCAGTTCTAGAGGATGCTCCCGTATCCTGAGATAGCGCCCGGCGACGACATTTGCACCAGCAAAATGAAGGCAACTGAATAAAAAACTCCAGAAAAAAACCTCACGTTTTTCGAAATTTTTAAAAAAATGGCACTATTCAACTATTACGACCCCAAAAACTCAAAATTTTATTTTTCGTCGAAACTTCGCCTATAGGGGTAATTCGGTGCCCTGATCACGAAAATGAGGTTCATTTTTGGCGCTGGCGCCATTTGGCGCCCATTGGCGCCATTTGGCGCCAAGGGTGTTTTCACCAAATTCGCTGTAAACTTGCACATAGGGGTTATTTGGGGTCCTGATCACGAATATAACATTCATTTTTCCCTCCAGCGCCTGTGCGCGCCTGTTTTCCGCTCGTCTGCGCCCTCTCACTGATCACCTCGCGATCGGGACTAAGCCTTTGAGGAGGAGAGTGCTCCGAAGTGAATAACACTTATCCTGTGATCTTATACGCTTTAACGTTTGCCACATGTTGACTGGTTCACCCACCCCGGAGTCCTCCCTCCTTCTAGGCTCAGTCCTAGGTATTATGTACAAGTGAGAGGACCCAGGAGAATGGAAAATGTGCGTTGAACGGTGGAAATGCTAAAAACGAATGACATATCCGTAATCAGGACCCTAAATAACCCCTATGTGCAAGTTTACAGCGAATTTGGTGAAAACACCCTTGGCGCCAAATTGGCGCCAAATGGCGCCAGCGCCAAAAATGAACCTCATTTTCGTGATCAGGGCACCGAATTACCCCTATAGGCGAAGTTTCGACGAAAAATAAAATTTTGAGTTTTTGGGGTCGTAATAGTTGAATAGTGCCAAAAAAATTTCGAAGTGCCGTGCTGGTATCAGCACAAAAAATAGTACCGAATGCACGAACTCGAACTAAGCATAAATCACCGATCCCGAACTCACTTGGTAGATGATTTGGAGCTCGCCAAACAGCCGTCTACTAAATAATAGCAGCACTTGTGATTTTCAACATCTGAACGATCGAATTTCAATACACGCCATTAAAATCAACACCCATCAAATTGCCAACGGAAAATTGCAACGGTGAACTTAGGCTGACTTCTTGCGATAGTGGACGCTTGCCCTGCAATCAATAGATGATTAAGGAGGAATCTCATTCGCTACCCGAGGAAATAACAGAAGACTACATGAGAAACTAAAACTCACAAGTCAGCCAAAATCGTCCCTAGAGTTTCAAAAAAACCTGGATATCACGTCAAACAATGTGTACCGTGTGTGCACTGCAGCCGAATTCTCCTACTTGACGAGAGAAGTTGTCAATCACTTGCACTTTCAAGAAAGCTCCGAAAAGTAATGGGGTTGGAGTTGCTTGGGTCTATTCATGTGATCCTGGAATTGCATTCACTCTCTGCAGAGTTATTGTCGCTAGCCGAGTACAATTCGCATGTGTTGTCTCGTCTTTACGCTTGCTTCTTAGTTTGACCCGGAGACTATGAACTGCTTCTGGATCTGTTTTTCTCGACCACAATGAACGGCAGTGTAGGGATTTTCGAACCATTTACTGTCAAGGCGTGTACGGATCTATGCAAGACGCCTTTCAATGAAGATTCAAATATATTTTGGCGAGCGTGAAAGGAAAACCTGGATGTGATGGTGCTATATATGATGTGACATTTTTCATGTGTCAAGGCTTACTCGACTTTGACTTTGCTCTGCTTTGCTGAGTTTCATCTTCTTGCAAGCCTATCTACCACCTAACTGCGATCAAAATGACGCAATGCGTTGCGTCACTTTTGTGCAATGTTTTCCAACTGAAAATTCTTTTTTATCTGGTACCCCAAATGAATGTCGTTCCACTTTTTTTGATTGCTGGTCTGGTTTACTTCTTCATGGTTCCGCTAGGCAGCCACAATCAATGTCGTTTGAACTCACATTTCTTTTCGTTTATTGGTTCACTGTTTTGTGAAATACAGTTCTCTTTTTTTCCAGGTAAAATGAGTGGACTGGAAACTGTTCCAGACACTATAAATTTTCCCAAGGAGGAAGAAAACACCTTGAAATCTTGGAGTGAAAACGGCGTCTTTGAGAAATCGCTAGCGTAAGTGATGATTTGGAAAAATCACTAATGTTCTGGCAGTTTACACCGTGTCGATGAATATTATGCACGAGGGAGATACACCATTCAAAAAATCGTAGGAAAACACTTCAAGTATGAGGATTTGTTTTTTTTATCAAATGTGTTCTATTGTAGGCTGGCTAAAGATAGGCCACGTTATACGTTCTTCGATGGCCCTCCATTCGCAACCGGCTTACCTCACTATGGTCATATTTTGGCTGGCACGATCAAGGTTCAGTGTCAAATGATCATGTTTGATTTCTTAAATGGCTTTTCATAAATGCTCGATTGTCATTTCCGTCTCTACCTTAGGATGTAGTGACAAGATGGGCCCATCAAAACGGCTTTTATGTTGAGCGGCGCTTCGGATGGGACACACATGGTCTTCCTGTGGTAAGACTTTTTTTAGAAAGGTTGCTAAACGGTTTCAATTCCAGGAAATGCAGTAAGTATTGAATAGTTTTTCAAATTCAATTTCCAGGAATATGAAGTGGACAAGACGTTAGGTGTGAAAGGTCCTAGTGATATTTATGCTATGGGAATTGACAAATACAATGCGGAATGCAGAAGCATTGTCATGAGATATGCTCACGTGAGTTCGCCCTGATCTTTCTTGCTCCTTTTCCTCGCTAGTCTTTTCATTCTTGCCATAACTCTACGACTTAGAGGATTTTGTGTTCATGTACTGTCCTGTTCGTACCTCTTTATGGCGAGGTGGTGTAGCCACAAGTACCACAATCCGGGATCGAATCCTGGATATTACGCTCAGAGCAATTGCCTTCCGTTTCTTCGGGTCGTTTCGCTGGTTCTAGACTTGTCTGGGAAAGTAGGGGTATTGGAAGGGCATATCTCATTAAAAATGTCACTGCGATTCTGAATGGAGTTAAGATGCGTGGCGCACACCAAAAAATTTCGAACAACGCAATTGTTTCATTCTTTCATCCTTTAATCTTTTGTGAGCAATAGTTCGCTTTGCAGGAGTGGGAGGTAACGGTAGCTCGAATGGGGCGCTGGATCGATTTTCGCAATGACTACAAAACCCTTTATCCGTGGTTCATGGAAAGTGTTTGGTGGGCATTCAGTGAACTCGTCAAGAAAGGCCTCGTCTACAGAGGAGTCAAGGTGCGATTGATACTCAATCAGGAAATTGCTTATGGTGATACTTATGTTGAAAATCGCTGTTTTCTCTTAGGTTATGCCATTCTCAACATCTTGTAACACTCCACTCTCGAATTTTGAGGCTGGACAAAATTACAAGGATGTTGTTGATCCCGCTGGTGAGTTATACCTTTGGAGCGGCCCTTTTCAAACATTTTAACAAGTTTGAAGCTTGTGGAATTCATTTCTTAACAGCTCCAACTTTGTCCTTGTTTGCCTATAGTTGCTAAATCAGCTGTCTTTCCAGTATGCATCGGATTCCGCCTCGATGAAAATCCAAACCGCATGATGGTGGCGTGGACCACGACTCCGTGGACATTGCCTAGTAATCTTGCCCTTTGTGTGCATCCGGATCTAGACTACGTTGTTGTTAAAGGTACTCCGCAACTCCCTTATTCGATTGTTTATAAATGCTTTTGTGATTGCATTTTTTAGTCTCATATTTGCGGGAATTTATGCTTTTAATTCTTTGTTTTCTTTTTATTGCAGTCCCTCATTTAGATCCAACAAATGGACTGGAATACGTTGTGTTGGAGGAACGCCTATTTGAGTTGAAAAATGATAACTTAGAGGTTTTAGAAAAGGTCAGCTTTTTACCGAAATCGTTAATGAATAGTTTTTGAATATTACTTCTTGTGCAGGTCAAAGGTCGCTCTTTCGAGGGAAAAACATACGAGCCATTGTTCCCATATTTCACATACATGAAGGCCGAAATGAATGCATTCCGTGTTCTTTGCAACACGTTTGTCACCACTGATCAGGGTACTGGTATTGTGCATCAAGCTCCATATTTTGGAGAGGTGAGTGCCTCTTGTTTAAACCTAGGATCTATACTACATATCTAGAGCAGTGAATGTTTTGATTTTGCTCAAGATTTTGTTCTATTACAAGGGAATAACCAAAGTTTTGAATGCTCAGTATTTTTAGGTTGATTACCAAAACTGCCTCGAAAATGGAATAATCACAAAGGACATGAAGATTATATGCCCTGTGGATGAAAGTGGCCGGTGGGAAATTTTCAACTAATGTTTTGTTATTATGGTCATCAAATCATTTCATCAATTTGAGGTTTACTGACGAAGTGAGCGATTTCGCAGGGATGTATGTGAAAGATGCTGATAAACCGATTTGCAAAAGGTTGAAGGAGAGCGGGAATCTAATCAAGCAAGGAGAGGTACTGCATTTGCTATCGTGACACTTTGAGTGCTTGAGATGACACTAGGAGTCTTTCAGGTGAAGCACTCTTATCCCTTCTGCTGGCGATCGGACACTCCGCTGTTATATAAAGCTGTTCCATCGTGGTTTATTCGTGTAGAACAAATTGTGCCTAAACTTCTCGCTAACAATGAACAGACCTTACTGGTGAGGTTCTCCTGGCCAGTTTTCACTAGGGCCGTAATCAATCGACTAGTCATGGGTCTCCAGAAAGAGATCGTATTGGAACATGACCATGGCATTGTTATATTATTAGGGTTCCCATATTGTGAAGGAGAAACGATTTGCCGACAACTGGTNACGTGATGCGNGAGNTNGGGCTGTATCTCGTAANCTCGTTTCTGGGGAACTCCAATCAATTTGTGGGTCAGCGACGATTTGGAGGAAATCGTGTGTCCGTCGAGTATTGCTGAACTTGAGCGGCTCACTGGAACTAAAATTACTGACATCCATCGAGAGAGGTACTGTTAACATGGATTTCTCACCTTTTCGTATTCACTGCCTTTGAATTCAGTGTCGACCACCTCACTATCCCTTCCAAGACTGGCCGGGGAGTTCTTAAACGAGTTAGCGAGGTGAAGTCTTGTTACTGCACTGATATTATTTCCTGCATTTTGATTGATGTCGACTGAAAGAAGTTGTGAAATTTGTGTTATCTTCCTCCTAGATATCACGTACTTTTGCCAGGTTTCGCCCACTGCTGGTTTGAGTCTGTTCATGCCCCTATTGCCAAACCTTACCCTTCGAAAACAAGAAGATTTTTGAAGACAATTTCCCAGCTGACTTCATTGCTGAGGGCATTGATCAAACAACGAGGATGGTTCTACACGCTTCTTGTACTCTCCACGGCGCTGTTCAACAAGCCTCCTTTCAAGGTTTCTTTCTAGTTTGAATTGGTGATGATAGTGGCAGTGGGATTGGGTATTTACAGAATCTCATTTGACAACGGACTTGTTTGCTTCCTGATGCAACAAATGTCAAACGTAACGAGAGAATTATCCCAGATCCGGTAGAAGTGGTTGAAAAGTACGGTGCCGACGCCCTGCGTTTATACCTTATCAATTCACCTGTGGTACGGGGAGAAAATCTGCGTTTCAGGTTAGCCAGTCAATATATTGCGATTACTTATTCGTAGTGTCTCCGAAACCTTCGCTTGTACATTATTTTCTTCATGATGAGCTGGTTCAATTGCGAGAGGAAGGATTCGAGATTTATTGAAAGACGTTTTTCTGCCGTGGTTCAACGCCTACAGGTTCTTCGTACAAAACGCTCAACTTTACGAACACGTATGTTTTCACTACTTTCAGTTTAATTTAGATGAATATGAAATTTCAAGTGCTGAAATTCTTCATAGTAAGCGTCCAGTGGAGTATGATTCTTCTTCTAATAACTTGCTTATTTTCTTCGAATGCATTTTACCTTGTAAAGTTAGAGCATAGACGAAATGGTCAGCTCGATACCTCTTTATCGGAAGGCACCTTAGCACTTTTCAGGGTAGTGGTCAAGTTTTCTCTATGAAAGAAGTCAAGAGTGAAAATGTGATGGATAGATGGATTGAATCGTTCACAAACAGCTTAGTACAGTTTGTCCGCAAGGAAATGGCAGAGTGAGTTCTCAACATGATCAAAGCTATCCTTTAGCTACTTGCGCTCTGGGAGCTCAAATCTTGCGACGCTGAACTCTCGTGGTTTCTATTTATTAGAAAAAATATTTCCTCCAGGTATCGACTTTATGCAGTGGTTACCCCGCTTACAAGATTCTTCGACACGCTGACCAACTGCTACATCCGTTTGAACAGGAAGAGAATAAAGGTTAGACAAGGAAATGTCTATGCGGTCGAATGCGAGGTAGACTGGTTTTCTGACTCAAAAATTTAGGGCGATTTTGGTGCAGATGATCAAACACACGCACTTTCTGCCCTCGGACGTGTTCTTATTCTCATTGTTCGTCTCATGGCACCATTTACACCATTTTTCTGTGAATATGTGTGGAAAAATCTGCGTAAGGTGAGTACAAGCAAATTAAATAGGATCCACTTGAGCACCTATAAAATTTTAGGTAACCGGAGCTCCAGAGGAATCTGTGCACTACACCTTGCTGCCAACGTCTGATGATAGCCTAATTGATACAGTAGTAGAAAGGCGAGTGCAAGCGATGCGCGACTGCATCGATCTAGTCAGGGTATTACGAGAACGCAAAGCAATACCTGTCAAGGTTTGTTATCTTTTTGAACGTAAAACAGTTGTAGATGGGCAAGGTTTTCGGGCTGCTATTCAAATGCCTGGGTTTGGATATGCTGAATAATCTTTACCGTTAAAGGTTAAGTTCGTAGTTTTGTGGGTCAATAATTTCACGAACGATTGCAGTATCCGCTGAAAGAAATGATAGTGGTGAATCGAGATGGACAATTTCTGGAAGATCTCAAGAGTCTGGAGCATTATATTCTTTCGGAGGTAAATATCCGGCAGTTGACGGTTTCCCAAGATAAGCACAAGTACGGTATCACCTTGAAGGTACGTTTTCGCTTGCGGATTTTCCAGTGTTTTCTCAGCTGCATCGTTCTAAAAATTCTTTCAGGCGGATCCTAACTTCAGAATACTTGGAGCACGGTTAAAGGGCGATCAGAAGAAGGTTGTGGACTATCTCAAAACTCAAGTTACTGAGAGCGAGTTAGAGCAGTTTCTCGCTGAAGGCAAGTGGTGATGAATTCGGTATAACCAATTCTCTGAATAAAGATTCATTTTCTGTCCTTATTGAGAAATCAATGTTCAATTTTGGTCATTTTTAAGTGAACGTCTCTGCTTGCATGAATCAATGAGGAATTTTTAGGGAAATTGACTGTTTGTGGTCATGAGCTCTCATCAGAGGAGGTTAGCGTGAGCTACACGAGCGCTCAGACTGGCACTAGCGACCACGGTTACGAGACGCATTCGGATGGAAAGGTGTGTGCTCTGTCATTCTTGCAATTGCGATTTCTACTCTTCCCAATCCAGTAATTTTTTGTTGAATAAGGTTCTTTTTTTTTACGTTTGCTCTATAGGTTCAAACATATGAGTAAATTATTTGCTTTATTCGATGTTCTGTGGTCATACGCGATGAAGAACAATATGCCTTGGGTCATCCCTTCTGTTGAGCGCTATTTATTTGAGGCATATGAAGCCTGTAGATGATATGGGTGGCGTCTGCGTAATGTGACCTCAGAAATGATTCTATTATGTTTTTCATTTAGAGTATCCTTTCCTGAGATTGATTGCTTCAGACTATCGTAATGCTTGATGTGTCGGAAGACTCGTCTCTGGTTGAAGAAGGGCTTGCTAGAGAGATCACAAATCGAGTGCAGAAACTGAGAAAGGCGGTCAGTCTTTTGTTACGATGACTTTATTTGTTCTTCTATCAGTTTCAAGGGAATTTAGGCTAAATTAGTGTCCACGGATCCTGCCGTGGTCTACTGTGTGGTAGAACCGAAGTCTAGCCAGCTGGCTGCAGTCGTTACATCGCACAAGGAAAGAATTGAGGAAGCCACTGGTGAGACTGTTTCGGTTTGATAGAAACGACTTCGAAAATTGTGTATTTTTTCTGCGAGTCAAAAACCCAGATCTGATTCCTAAGAATACGTTTAGAGACTCAGTCTCCTTTAGGCTGGTGTCAGAGTCCGCGATCCGTCGCAGGTTTCGCTGATTTTCGCGATTTGCGCGATTTGCGCGATTCACGCGACGGGTCACGGAAATCACAAGTGCCCCATCAATACTGCAAGGTGTTCTCCAATCCCGCCGTCACTTCTGCTTGATGGTTATGGTTTAATGAAGACTGCTCATGATTCCACTTGTTTCATATTCAGTGTTTCAATTGTTCAAATGGGGCACTTGCAATTTTTGTGATCCGCGCGAAGCCTGCGACGTATCAGAGGAATCGAAAGTGCCTCCATCACCCCCCCTACTTTTTTCACGTTTTATGGGCGCCGCGGCGAGCACGGCCGAGCCGGTAGCGCCCGCGAAGTGTGCGGGAAATTTGAAAATGTTCCAGCACAGCTCGCGGGCGCCTTGTGTGTGTTGTGCCTTGTGTACTCCTGTGATCCATCGCAGGTTTCGCGAAAATCGCGAAATCGCGAAAATGCGAAAATCAGCAAAACCTGCGACGGATCGCGGACTCTGACATCCGCTTTAGTGAGAATCGCGTCATTCATGCACTGACAGAAATTAAGTCCGGGACTGGTTTTCTTACACCCTCATCTCTCATCTAGGATCAGTTGTAACACCGACCATAATAATAGTGTAACTAGTATTCCTAATAAATAGAAGGAAATACAGCGACTATCCGAAATATTACTGAATCAAACTCGTATAATTTTGCATCTGACACCCCACATGGGAGTCAAATATTCTCCCCCAATTAATTACTTTATTTTTGTATTTCTATTAGTTTAAATTCTTGTTTCAATTAATATTTTAAAATCGTTTCTCATGAACACCCAGTCGTTCTCTCTATGCAGTCTCATGTTTCCTAAAAGTCAGTGCAGCTTTAGGTTCCATTCACTCTTGGGAAGGCTTGCTGGAGTTACCATGGGTCTGCAAGGGGTTTTGGAAACAGGATTCGTTTCTTCATCTTTTATCTTCATTAACTCAACAGTTGTTGTTTTCAGGGACACCGTTGCGGTTAGAGCATCTGCCCTCAGGTAAACGCGCAACAGTTTCTAACGTCAGCACTGTCAAGGATTCTGAAGTTTCGGTATGTGTGCCCTTTCATAAACCACTTCTCGCTTACACACCGGGAGTCATGAGCGAAGCAGTAAAAAATCTTATTGAGAATGACTTGCCTTCTGCCCAGCTTCCTACTTTCACGTTTTTCAAAGCTCAAATTCTATAGAGCGACTCAGTCGGGGGAGGATCGATGATCCGGTCCTTCGATTACTTTTTCCTTTTTGTTTAGGAATGTTTTTGTGTGTCAGGAAAATGTCTTACGATTATTAATTTCTAATTTTTTTGCAGCAACTAGAAATATCGCTTGAGAAATATCCACTGCTCTTCGCTGCGTTCATTCGGGATCAGCCATATATTTATAAAATCTGGCACTAACAGCTTGCATAAATTCTTTCAGTTAGAAATATTCTGGTAGATGTATATGTTTTAGCTATGGCTAATTGCTGAAAGGGGGTGGTGCGGAACACTGCTGCAGTCGGATCTCAAGGAAAGACCTTCCGAATCCGATGGTGAAGTCAGCACGGACAATGGTGAGTTACAACGCCATTATCGAGGTTCAGCGTTCAGGTTGAGTTCGATTATTCGGAGCGCACTCAGGGAAATAGTGTTTGATCGATTCTCAAAAAAATGCAAGCCAAGAGTGAATGTATTTTTGAGGGTAGGCACTGGTTTTTCAGAATGGCATGTTTTGACCTGTCTCGACCGCCACGAAAGAATAGTCAAAGTAGACAAACATTTTATTCGGAGAAAATGTTATTTTTTAGTGCACATTGAGGTAGAGATGAAAATATCACACAATTTCGTTATGGGGATTTTAGATCCGCTCAGCGTTGGATTTGTGGAAAGGAAAGGTGTGGCTCATTCTATCTGACGGAACCCGCTTCCACCCGACGACTCCTGTTGAAGAGTTGAGTGGTCTGTCCGTAACAATCCAAACGTAGATCAATTTGTTGCTCAAGTAGGTTGTTGTTACCTACGTCGCTATCCTCTTTTATCTTTCTTGAGCGCTCATTCTTTTAATCGTTTCAAAAGGTCTCTTCATCTGTAGTCAGTTTCTTCTGCACACCCGTTGTTGCTATCTCCCTGGTTTGTTTTTGTTTTGTTTGCATAGATGTCTTTTGTTAAGTAGGTTTGTCAGAAATTGTTCTGTTGTTAGATACCACATTTTTGGGTATATTGTGGTTTAGTAGGTATTCTGTGTTCCGATGTTTAGTTTAAACTTGATCTCAACTAGGGGAATTTTTTGCAAATATACCAACAGAGAACTCCTTGTGTTGTATGTAAGACTTCATGATGCAAACGGGTGGTCAAGCAGTTCCATGGTTATTGGGTCTTTCATAATTTCACTAGCTGTATTTATTGATGTTTTGATGTCACCTCTCCTAAGTCTTATCCCATCCTTTTGAAGGCGGAGTTTATGACTAGAGTGCAGCGCATAAGAATTAAGGCAGAGGTGATCAGTGATGCCGAGATGAAGAAAAAAGGCTCAGAACCCGAGAAATGGTACCCCTTCCTTGGCAGTTGCTTGCGCATTGATGTGACTCTCATCGGGTACCGCCCACATTGATTCAGGCGACTAACAAGGGAAAGCCAAGAAGTCGACATGGCCCGTCACGGGTTATTTGTGTACACGGCACAGAACACCTTTAGAAGCTGAGCTCTTTTATGTTTCAAGAACAGCAGACATTTATTCTGAGGAAAAAACATACTCGCTATGGTTGGACCGTGTCCAACCGGGGAGGCGCAGGGAATGTTGTTTGGGGTTCCGGTTTTCTTTGATGAGCGTTTCGTTGAAAGAACGAAGCGGCCGATGGCTGAGGTCGGTTTTTGCCTAGCTGCTGGTTACATGATGTCGGTTTGATATATCCAAAAATAAATTGACGCAAAACTGTTTTATTGAATGGTTTGTTGCACTGATGTTTTGAGGCAAGTTTCGGGAGATACAATGATAGGTGGACGTTCCAATATGAAGGTGAGCTGCGGGCTGTATATCTGAAGACGAAAAAAAACTAGAAGGAAACGCTTGGTCACGCCCCAAGTAAGCCCACCATTGTCCCGAAGTTATACGAGGTATGGCGAAGGGTGGGATTGGACGAGTTTTTCATCAACGGATAGCTAAAGTTGCCCGGTACCACTTATTGACTCTAGGCCAGAAATCTTTACGGACACGGAATTTTTGGCGCAAACTGATGATTTCCCTTCTTTTTTTGGAGAGTTCCCTCTCTTTTTTATGAAAATAAAAAAAAACCCTCTTCTGTAAGGTGGTTTTTGAATAGTGCGTCAACGACCCTTCACCAGCGGCAGCGGAATGTGGGGTATGCGGTTTAGGACGTGGATTGTGGGTGTGGCGAGTTTCCAGCGCGTTTGTCGTGAGATCGTAGATGAATGAAGTGAGCTTGCTTAGTCTCGTAACGTGCTTTAAACCGGTGTGTGTTGTGAATACGACCAAGAATGCTAACCATAAGCACCAGGTTGCGTATGGAGGTGTTTTTTCGGGTGTGCACCATGCGCTCGGGATGGTCAGGCCAAAGCGACGGACGTAATGTATGCTATACGAAGTTATTACGCTCGGTGTCGCGGACGCCGACCACATTGTCTACCTAGCTGCCAGGTAAGATATAGGTAAGCAATCCCTTTGCAAATGAGGGTCCATCGCTCGGATATTACTGCGTGTCTCGTGATGGTGAGCCGTGAGCGTGGGTCTTCAGCTAGCAACGCTAGGCGGCCAGCTATGAGCGGGGGAATGTCTCCCGCGAGCCAATGTCGGCGGGGGCACGCCGATAGAACCTTCGTGGCTCCCGGCCCCTCCTTGACTGCGAGGAGCCTCCCGTCCGTCATGTCTGCCTTCGGGACACGCCGACCGTGAGGTGCTCAGATAAATAGCCCCGAGCGGAGATCGGAATCTAGAGTGCGCGGATCAATGCCTCTGGTCTACTTTGAGCGGCGGATGTCATGGAGTAATGAAGCTAAGCATTCTAAGTCGTGGAGTCAGCGGAGGCAGCTAGGGACCAGTGAGACTTCATGATCCGAGGGGCTGGTCCTACTCTCCTACGGAGTACACAGACTCCGAGCGCAAGCATGAGCGTCACTTTGGCGATAACGGGGATCACTTGGTGCCCAAAAGAGCGCTCCGGAATCCACTCGCTAGACAAGAACGGATGTGCTCAAATTGCTTAACCATTTGCCCTAAGCATTCCATCCCAGTGAAACCTAACTGCGCTAATCTACTCAACCAGACGTAGGTTGTACGCATTCACTGTAGTGTATTTAACAGTTGCCGCTGCCGAATTTAATGGCTCACTTGGAATATAACCGAGGACAAGATTTTGGAGGCTCCTCTTTTCCCGTACTCCCTGAGTTTTTTTTTCGAACTTTTTTTGGAAGCGGTGGCAAGAGATGCATGTAGGGCAAAGTGAACGGCGAAGTCGCCGTCGTTTCTCCATCCCTCCCTTTCTTCAGGGATGCACATTTCACTCTGCCCACTTTGTATTGAGTATTCAGCAATTGACTCTGTACCGGTAAGCGCCTGACCTAGGGATACCATTCTTTCTTTGCCAGTGTATAAGTGTGTCACGGGACTACATGTAGTTGATCCGATAGCTTGCGTCGTATGCTATGGAATAATAATTAGAGCTCCTAGCAGAGATAGACCCCTTAAGGACCACTTTATCTCGTTAATTCTGTGTGGGAAGTGCTATTACGTGGCTGACGTCATCAGCATGGCACGGTCTCAACTCTGGCTCTCCGCTAGAAGGGCTAGGTCTACGCGCGAGAGTTCAGGGAGGCAAAAGACGAGCGAGGGTAGTAGGCTTGCTTGGCCCAGTCTGAGCGGCGAGTTGCCGTGAGTGCCAGGTTTCGCTCCTCCCGTGAGTCAGCAGCATCCTCTTATAGTAAGCAAATTTGCACGCCGTTTTAGAGTTACAATCGCCACTGCCTTTTAGGCTTACAAATCGCACCATCTCCAATACCACGAAATCATTCAAATCCTGTAAGGCCGACTGTGCTGTTCCGAAACCTTCACAGTATTCTGAACACTCCCTTGAGATATTATTTATTCCGATATCATATTTATAAAGAACTTATAGATAGAATGAAGTGCCTTATCAGTCACGGGGGCCGAGATCAATGAGCAGGCGAAAAACGAGTTCAGGACGTTCTCTTATCATTATTGTGTACACGGAAGAGTTTCAAATGGAACTTGTCACGTTTCACTTCACACGTGGGGTTGTTATGTGATCTCAAACCAGCATCCCGAAATAAACGACCACTTGAACACTGTGTCCATGGAATTGTCTTCAATCGAAATCCATTCAAAGTTGCCAAATAATGTTTAATGGCTAATTTAGTTCATAAGCTGATACAGGGTCCTTGTTCGTTAGGTTGTTCCAAGGTCTTCAAGATGACGCGTTCGAGAACTAAAGGAGGTTCTATGATCCCTAACGTGACCTAAACCAATCGTGGGGCGAACCAAGAGCGTTTACATTATAGGAGCCTGGAGCAATTATATGAACATGCAAAGAAAACATACGTTACTCTGGTACAGGCTCAGTTTTTTGGAACGCGAGTATCTTTTTATGGTCCACACACTGAGGAGTGTATAGTTTTGGGAGACAGATCCCAAATTCAACGTTTTTAATAGCACACTGTTGTTTGTAAGGAAGGTGCCCATTTCTTTTCCATGTGTATGTGTGCGTTTTGCGGACGTAATAAACTTACACATATGCTTATACAGTAGCGGTCAAAAAAGTTCGCCGAAACGGTTTTCCGTGGTTCTCCTTTTTTTGCTGAAAAAAAATCAATGATAGCATAGGAAGTTTTTTTTTCTTTTGAACATCCCGAATCTTTAAGGGTTGAGGGATATAAAAACACTAGAAAACATAGTATCAATCTTTGGAGGAGCGTTGCTCAAGCGGGAAAAAATAATGCACCAAAAATCGTTTCGGCGAACACTTTTGATCGCTACTGTTATTTAGTCGGATCGCCGTTGCTGAGGCTGAAGAATTTGAAGCGATCTATGACCATCCCAACACAGTTTGACACATACCTATAAAAGTTCGGGATCACCAAGCACCTCAGCTAGTACACGAACCAACTATTGTAATTCGGTAGCTGGACAACTCAAAATCCATTCTAGCGGAGCTAATGATTTTTAGTCTGTAACACCTACTTCAACGGCATTAAAGGAGTGAGTCACAAGTTCACTCGTACGTTAGATGATGAGTTCAATTCGGTGCATCGTGGCGAGAAACGCACCTAGCTAGTGAACTGTCAGTTCGATGAAAGGGAGGTGCGAGGGTGCAAAGCGAAACGTTGGAGGCAAATTTGAAAATACGACCCCTTCCTCCTTCCCCTCGGAGGCGAAATTCTATTAACTCCTTCAAAAGCCGAACTTTAAAAGAGTTTTGTTTTTAATCCTCCCAAACAGTTTCATGGAAAAAAGCCTGCTACCCACATGCACCAAAGCAATTCGCTCAAACAAAGTGGAAAAGTGAAAAAAAGTCATGAGAATTATCGAGTGATTGATCCGTTACACGACGCAAACGACGAAAGGAGCAAGAACGACAAGATATAAATGGCTTACTATGACACAGATCCTTTCGTATTTATTTGCATTAGGAAGTTGATAAATTTTAGACTTAAGAGCTATTTATCAATTTACACGTCCCCCTTTCGCTCAAAGGAAGCCTTGTAAAAGCCTTCGCCAGCTGTGTGTTGACTGGACTTTGGCGTTGACCGTGGAGCAGCTTATTTACTATTGAAATTTGAACAAATATTCAAATGATTATAACTTTCTTCAAAGTTAACGAATTTTCAATCTGAAAGCTGATTTGGGAGTTTTGTGAAGAGCTTTTTCTAATCAGTACTGAAATT